GCTTCCGCGTACACATAATGGTTTTGACGGCATTTGGGTAATAGTTGATCGGCTTACTAAGTCACCACATTTTATTCCCATCTCTACCTAGCACGAGGCCTTTTGGGAATTTATTGGCTTCGGGTTCCATCGGAACTCTGAAGTTAAGCGAGTTCGCGCAAGAGCAATCCCAGGATGGGTGACCCACTAGGAAGTTCTCGTGTGAGTTCCCAGAAACAAAACCGTAAGGGTGTGGTAGGGGCCCAAAGCGGACAATATCGTGCTACGGTGGAGTCGAGCTCGGGATGTGACATTTTGCCTATAACAAATTGGTATATTTAAGAATGAGTACATTTTAAGATTAAAAATTTGAAAAAAAAATTACATGAATGGTACATATAATTAGCATGGGTACATTTAGCAAAATTAAAAATGGGTACAAATAAATAAAAAAATATGGGTAAAAATACAAATAAAACTTTATAAAATATGGGCACAAAAAGAAATTAATATATGGGTACAAATTAAAACTGAAAAGAAAAATCGAACAAATTAAAAAAGGGTTGCAAATTAAAAATGGGAACAAATTAAAAATAAAAATATACGATAAAAAATTTAGCCATAAATATAAATATACTAATTGTAACATTTTTAACATTAAATGAATATATTTAGAAATAAAAAATATTTTATTATTGAAATAATTAATGATGTTATTAATACCAAGGACCTTGATCAAAAAATAAAAATGAATAAGGTTATAATCAAAGGAGTAGCAAAAGGAAGGATGAGAACCTAATTTCTCCATTAAAAAATGATTATTGTCGTTTGTTTTTAAGAAGCAAACACCAAAGACGACCATGTTTGAGACACGATTATTGGCAAACAAGCCTTAGTATCATATAAATCACCTAGTCTTGGCTACTTTTCAAAAATTGGATTGCGCTTTTGCTCATCATGTGATTGCGGACTCTTTAAACGAAGTGATGAAAAGCAAAAAAGTTTCACAAGCAAACCTAGAAATTAAAAAGATGAATGGGATCAGATGAGCCATGCATTGAGCCTCCCTCCCCTTACCACTTGAGAACTTGAGAGAGATATGTCAAACACAAATGGACAAAGAGAAATGGGAAGCACAAAAATAAGGAGACAGATACCTCTCAGTAATCCGTCCTCTAAAAAGCAGGGGTAACACTAGCTCTGTGACTCTCTGGTAGCTCACACAAGAAACAATTTACAGATAGCAGCCATACATTTTAGGGTGGTATTTACGTGCATCTGCATGCTAAAATCCATACTGTGTTTTGCCTAAGGTAGGGGTATATTTGTCATTTTAACAGTATTTTTTTAATAATTAATTTTTTGTATTTTTTTATTTTATAATTAGTACCTCATAATAGGCTACCAATAATGTAATTCAATTTCTCTTTTTTCAAATATGTTCAAAACATCTTAAGAGGCGTGTAATACCGGTTATAAAAAAGGTCATTCGTACGCAGATAATAATGTGATTAAATTAGTTGTCAAATGATTTTTTTTTTTATTTTAACAAAACGATATTATCTACTCTAAGGGGGAGGGGGTAGGCTTAGCCTCATAATGGGCTAGCAATAATGTAATTTAATCAATTGTTTATTAAATATTATTTTTCCTATTGTAAACACGTTCAAAACATCTTAAGAGGCGTGTAATGATGGTTATAAAAAGTCTTTCACACACGGATAATAATGTGATTAAATTAGTTGTCAAATGATTGTTCTTTTTTTTTTTTAACAAACGATATTATCTAAATTAAAGGGGAGGGGGTGGCTTAGTTTCACAATAAACTAGCAATAATATGATTTAATCAGTTGTTTATTAAATATTATTTTATCTATTTTTTAAACATGTTCAAAACATCTTAAGAGGCGTGTAATGCTGGTTATAAAAAAAATCTTTCGCACACGAATAATAATATGATTAAATCAGTTGTCAAATGGTTGTTTTTTTTTTTTTTTTTTTTTTTTTAACAAATGATATTATCTACACTAAGGGGGAGGGTGTGAGTTTAGCCTCACGATGAGTTAGCAATAATGTGATTCAATCAATTGTTTATTAAATATTATTTTCGCTATTTTTAATGTAAATTCTATAGAGACCGATTTTATTATGTGAATTCATCTGCTTTAATTGGTTTATGAGGAGTTTGATTTTATTATGTGAATTCATCTGCTTTAATTGGTTTATGAGGAGTTTCTTCTAGCATGATCTAAGATTATTCATTTACTTCAAATATTTGACTTTCCTTTTGTCAATTTAAGCATATAAATATATTTAAAACGTGTAAGTCACGTATATATATACAAAGGTTGTCTTGGTGGGTTTGTGTGGTGGCAACGACATCATGTGACTAAGGTGTACGTTCATTCACATCGAGTTTCAGTGAAACCTCTCCACTACTATGAAGCACAAATCTAACACTTGGGAGGAGAAAAACTATGGTGTCACCGTTGCATATGTCCATTGTCTCATAAAAAAAATTCCTTGGTTGAGCCAAATAATAAGGAAAATGATTCTAGTTCTTGATTTCAGTCATAATTCTCAATGACTCCTCCTGAAAGTTATTTTTGTTTTACAACAGGGTGATTTGTCACAAAGATAGAGATCTAACTGGGGTGCAAGGAGATTGGCCTAATCACATTTGTCGCAAAGTAACTGTATAGCCTTCTATTGGTTGTGGCTTGCTAGTTGACATAGGGGTGTACTATTCACACACCTATTTTTACTTCTTTCATACCCTTTGTTAATTTCTGTCATTTGATTATTCAATCCATCCGATCCGATGGCCAAAAATTAAAAGGTGTGAGAGAAGTAAAAAGAGATGTGTGGATATCACACCCCGTTAACATAATATCCGAACTGTCTTTGTAATAATCTTAAGTTTAATTAATTTCTGTTTCTCACTCTTTTATTTGTTTGCACTAAAGTTTTACTTTGAAGAACGTATGAGTAAGTTTGATATATATTATTTTTGTTTGTCAGTAACAACCTTAAGATTTTAAGGTTAGTGATTGTTGTAACAAAATTAAAGATGAAAACGAAAAGCTATATATCTCCTCTTTTTTAGTAGCACAACAATCTTAAGTTTCGTATTTCACTTCTCTCCTATTTCATATATAAAATATTATAGCTAAATCTTGAATACGTACAATCAAATGCAAATCAACACCTTATGATGAATTGAGCATTCTTGCATTTGAGATTTCAAATATTTGAGTTTGCAACTTAGCTTGTATGTAGTCTAAAATATAATCCCGTATGTTTAGATTGAGTGGCTCGTTATATCATTTTGTAAAGGGAATTTGGTGAGCCCTACTAAAGGGGAAAGAACGATAAAGAATAGGAAAGGGATCCTCTAAGGATTTCTTTTCACAAAATCCATTAAGTTCGGGATTCGGATTGTTAAAATTTAATCCAACGATTACAGTTATTATATCATTGGATCAAATCTCAACGGTCGAAATCCTGGAACTTGATGAACTTGGTAGAAATGAATAAAACAGCAAGTATAGTGTCAGATTATGTGAGCTACTGTAAAGCAATTAATAGAGCCAATCAACTGCACCTGCGAGCACTAATAATTTACACTTTATGGGTATGGCCATGCAGTGTGGTATATATATTAAGGCAAGGGGAGACAAATCGAGCCAAACGAGAGGCCCGTGAATACGTACTACTGTTAAATCAGTGTTAATGCATGCCTTATATATGCCTCTTCCTCCAGATTATTAGCTGGCTCAGTGTCTGTGATGTACATACATGTGTCTTTGTTCTGACATATCAAACCCCATCTCTGCCGACTCATTTCCCATAAACCCTAGCCATCCCAATGCAAATTTCCCAACTGAAAAAGTAGGTGAATGGGACAATAACATAAGGAATGTTATATCCACACACCTTTTTTTATTTCTCACACATCTTTTTAATTTTCGGCATTTGGATCAGATGAATTGAAAAAGATCAACGGACATAAATTAACAAATGGTATGTGAGAAGTAAAATGAGATGTGTTGATAGCACACCCCTAACATAATCCCATTCCTTCTTTTGTGGTTTTGGCACTTGATTATATAAAAATAGCTATTTAGCTAGAACTTGACTAGTTTAGTTTGTCCCCACCTGCCTTCTGTGCTCCTCTTAACTCTTTCAATCCTAATAGTAGTGAATAATTTGTCTTAATCTTCATGTCTTGGACATGTACCAATTACTAGAGTCTTGATCCCACCTCCATCTCATATTAGATAGTACTATATCTTAATATTTGAAATACTAAATTACAAATTCTTAACGCAAACAAACTGATAAGGCAGATCCATGTTTTTAAACATATGTTGAAAATTAAATTACTGAAGTCATATATGGGTCATTATATAATATGAACGAGAAATTCTTACAGACAACCATAATATATCTCAATAATCCATAATGTTTCAGCAATCAAGTCATAAGACATTGTCAAACGTCTTTCACCCCCAAAAAAAAAAAAAAAAAAAAAAAAAAAGACATTGTCTATCGTGAGTGATTAACACCATATTAATGGGTGACCAACTCCCAAGTGAGAGTGACATTCATGTAAGAATAGAATTCACTCTATTTTTTTTTAAGGAAAATAAAATTAAAGAGAAAAACCTCTGGGGCATCTACTACAAGAGTTATCAAAGTGCAAGGCATTCCTTGCACAACTAGAAACAAAATTAGAATTCACTCTGTTTATTGTGTATGTTTACAATATTTAGTAATATTATTTCTCTTTTTTATCAATAATAAAAGGAAAAAAGAAACTTTTCCATTTCCATTGGTTTTGGACTTATTTGATGGCTTATATAATTGCATATCATTTGATTTGTAGATTCAGGCTTAACTAAGTTGGTTAGAACAATATACTTTTTTTCTCTGCACCTAAGTTCAAATTTTCTTTTTTGTAACTTCAATAAATTTGGTGTAATTTACTATTGCCAAAAAAACAAAATGTATGCCATTTGAATCATTTGTAAAACTTCTGTTGGATATACAGTTTTGCAGTACCTTTGCCTATTCAGATAATTCAAAATTCCAACCCCCACTAATCAGTTAAAGCGCTCTCCGTGCTCTTGGCAAGCTATAAAAGCCATCCCATCCCATGCATGCCACAAAATTATTAACTCAAATCTGAATACTAGCTAGTGTGCGTTCAAAAGTAAAAAACACAAAGAGAGAAACAGGCAAACAAAGAAACAGAGCTGATGAGAGCTATGGTCTCCGGGCTGCGGAAGAGAGTAGCATTGCGCCGAAAGCTTCAAATTCGAAGGAGCCTGTAGACATCGAATTCAACCTTTCGTGTTCACAGCGCCTTACCAAGACAAATCCGTAATATCATCTGTTCTTTAGATTTCTTGGTACTAGCTAGCTAGCTAACCTATTAAACATTCTGTGTGTTTTGTTGGATGTTTATAATTAAAGGTCAAAAGGACCTCCATTGTAGTGGATGCTTTACCCCACATTTATATGCTGAAACTCAAGCTCGAAGCAGTCCACAGAGAGTACTTGCATCTCATGGCTATCAAGACAGATTACATAAACCTAATCAAACATCTTCAAGTCCGTGAGGTCTCTCCCTCTTTCTCTCTCTCTCTCTCTCTCTCTCTCTCTGTACTTTATATATATTTATTAATTTTGTGAATATTGTATATGCATGGATGGGCAGGAAGTGAAGGTAGAGAAGATTGAGAAGGGTTTCATGTGAGAGTGAAGTGTGAGAAAGCAAAGGACACTCTGGTTTCAGTTTTGGAGGTATTTGAAGAAATGGGTCTCAATGTTGTGCAAGCTAGAGTTTCATGCAACAACAATTTTTCCATGGAAGCCATTGCAGCTGTAGCTGATCACCAAAACCAAGAAAAGCTGGATGTGATAGTTGTGACACAAACAATACTTAGGGCCACCAAGATTAATAAAGATGGAAGGAGACGCATGAATGATTTGTAGTTCCTCAAGTTAATAACTCTTAATTAGTAGAGTTGAATCTTCTCATCAATGTATAATGAAGATATTAATTGATGCGTATGTAATATAGAAGTATTTTTGTGTCACTTCCACTTTGAACATCTGAAAAAGGTATTGAAATCTGGTAATGAGACCAAAATTGAAACTTCATTGCGTTGTCTAATTTAGTAATTTTTAACTGATTTCAGATCACTATTTTTTTTGTGTGCGTGATCAATATACGGCATATGGAAATCTAAATACAAGTAAATTATACATGCGTATGTTGAATAAAACAAATTGGAGTGAGACATTAATTTTCTGGATTAAGTGGAACTGTACATACACATTGGAATGTTACTACAAAAATTTCTTGTCTTCTAAGTTCTTTGCTCACAAGGAGTTTCGATGCAAGAGAACTAGCTTTTACATATATCGAAAAATGAATTAAAACCACTATTAATTAGCATCAATGGAACATATGGCATCAGGGCTTTAAGTTTTGCAGTAAAATACATTGGAACTTTAAAGCATGTGTATGTAGCCTTCAAAACTTTTTGGGGGGTTTTTGTTTCCAAGCCTCTATTTTTTTGTTTCCAATTTTTTTGGGGTTTTATATTAGTTCTTTGCAATTGTAAGATGGTGCTAGAGCAATGTCATTCTTGAAAGGCTTTTGGCATCGGTAAAGATAACACAGGAACGATCACTCGAGTGCTTGGATTGATGACGTTGTTAGAGTTTATATCATCTAGTTCATGATTGGATTGTCTGTTTGTTTGTTACTACAGTTGAGATATGAGACTCTCGTTCGTTTAGGGACGAGGAGCATTCATATGCTTCTTCTTTTTTTTTCATGTCCTCAACATCTGTCTATTGGAATATGAATTTGCAGTCTGTTGGAATCTATTTATATTAGGGCGTGTCCGATAATTAATGGAATATGTCTGTCTGAATCTATATCTTATTTGCCATATCAATCTATATCCATCTGTCATCTGTCTGAATTTGGAATCTGTGTGCATGCTTGTTCGCCTAGCGAAGCCTACACCCACATCTTCAAACTCATGCCGTGTACTGCCATGAGTTTGAGGGGGTGTTGGAATTCATGAGTTTATGTAGGAAATTAATTAGATATTTGATTTGATTTTGTATTAAGGTATTTTTGGTATCTTACGCATTGAGGTTTCTTAGGTTTAGGTCTCTAGCTTGTAATTTAGTTTGAGAATTAAGTCTGTCAAAACGTACCCCTTACTTTGTGTTGAACCTAAAAAACTATTAAGCCTACGTGGCGCGCAGGCCAAGTAACTAATGAGCTAACTACGTCTTTCGGTTATGTGCGGGGAATGCCAACTCGACGGCTGAGCTCAGCCGGGGAGTAAAATGTGTTGATGTTGCATTGAGCGCGTTGCTGACTTCTTGATCTTGCGATTGCGGCCTAGGAAGGAACACGTCTTGACCTTCGAGTTCTAGAGCCTGAAGACAAGGCTGCTAGTTTTACGAAGTTCAATATCAAATTCAGCTTTCAATGTACCGAATGTAGTAACCTGGTAACACCTCATTTTGCTAAGAAGGCTAATGAGATGACCTTTACCAACAAGGACTTGAAAATCCTTGTCGACCGAGACTTGGATAAGTAATCATTCGACTTCGAAGCAATGTTGTTTATCCAAACTGAATGTGCTTTGCGATCAGCTGACTCTACGACAATAGTGCTATTTATCCAAACTGAAGATGTGTTGGCGAAAAAAAAAATATAAATAAATAAAAATCTCAAGGTTGTTGAGATGTTTCAAGTAAAACGAGACTTTACGCAGGGCAGTTTGTGCGTTGAATTGGAGAGGCTTGAATGTATGCTCCCTCCTCTATTTATAGTAGCGAATCCCTTCATAGCCGGGCTAAAATCATACTCGGATTAGACTACTCTATCCTTATCTAAACCAATTAGTCATACAGCAGGATTCGGCCGATCCTGATTGGACGGCCCGCAATAACTAGATGACCCATGATAATTCTAAAGGAAGACTACTGGGCTGAAAACAACTTCTAGCTTGGCCCAAAACAATATTTTGGGCCCAAACTAGTTTGTAATCATTTTGATATTCTTGTTTATTTTGTTTTAGTGATAATATTTATATTTTCATAATTTGTTCGTCGTTTGTCCATTTGGCACTCTAATTTTCAATGCTTCATGAGCACTCAAAAACTATATTTTTAACTGTAATAAAATTCTCCTATCTTTCTTCCTTGGTTAGTATACCTGAAATTTTAGTTTGTCAACCAAAAGGTGATTAAATTTTAGTTCTGTGTACTTGTAGAATACACGTCATGAGTAAAAGTGATAAGGTTAAAATAAGTAGGTAAGTGAGAAGGTTGCTAACACTCCCTTGTTAGAAAAGAAATTCTATTTCAGGGGACTTAGAAAAAGAAATTGATTTGGGGCCTTCTACATGCATAGGCCTAGAAAAGGAGGCTTATAAGCTCCTGGGCCTTTCCTCAAAAAAGGCGGCCTAATCGCAGTTGGTGTTTTTTTTGGTTCGAAAACGGAAACTTCACTAAAATAGAAAGAGACTGTAAGACCGCAGGCTGAAACCACAAATGCACAACTGCGAGACTACCGTAGCAGCCAAACCGAAAAATAAAACCCTAAATTGCAAAGCCCCAAAGTAGCAATACACTTTCCAAGCTCCAAAAACCCAAATAGAAAACCCTTATCAACACTCAAAATCACCTTGAAGAGAGCACACATCAAACAAGAGCCATATATAAATCAGATGCTGTGGGTACTGGTGTTAATTTGATTACATAATATCAGTACTAGTTTTGGCCAGGCTACTGAACTGGCCAGGTTAGGGTATTATTGCCTAGAGCTCAAACCCTAAATTTGCCTTTACTGGGGATTGAAGGCGGAGATGGAGGTGGTTGTAACTGGTGTTAGGGTATAATGGTACAGAGCTTTTCTATGGTTTATGCAGTGTGTAGGGGTGCCTTTATAAATTCGAGTTTGGTCCTTATCTGATAGGTAGGTTGGTACTTGGTAGTGACACCTCTGACCAAAAATCAAGAATTATGGTACGAACTAGTAGGCAACTTGCAAATGAGTCTCAACACTTCCTTATATATTTTAGGAAATTACGTTGTTTTATTTGGATAAAATTTGTTCTCATTAGATTATATCTTTCATAACATGCATTTTGAACTTAATTATAAGTTACAACATGAACATATGTAAACTACTAAGGTTAATTTATTGATGGGGGTAACTAAGTAGGGTGATAAATAGAGTTAGATTACAGATCTAGTGAGCCCTATTAGTAACCAGGAGAAGTATATATCAAACTCAAACTTATGAATCAACATTTTAAAATAAATGCATATTTCTTACCTCTTTAAAAGAAAACTATCTATCCAATCCAATCCAACTTTACAGTGCAAACAGTTGCATATTTTCACACATGTGCAATGTACGCGCATGGGTGTTATGGCCGTACCCATCAACTTCACCAATGGAAGCTTCCATAGCAATACAATATGCAACTGTTGTAAATGTGGACGTTACCTACTTCAACTTGCACCCTATTGAAAATTACAGAGCAGGCCTGCAGGCTGCAGCTTCAATCTTGACCATCAATAAATAGTTTAATTATACATCAGATTGATGTGACCCGCTTGATGACGAAATGCTAGATTTCTTCTTTGAAGTGCAGTGACAAAAGGTTACATGCATGCAGATTTAATTAGCTTAAATCCTTGGAGGTACACAAGGGGCCACTTCCATAGTTCCTTGTTAAAAGCTTTCACCCAATCGGTTAAATAGGACGATTTCTCAATTTTCATGAACATATATGTCAATAGGTGGAGAGTTATATTCTAACTGTGGTTGGTCCCAAAGCCCCGACAAAATCAAAAGTCAGAAACAAAGCTAAAGTCAACCAAATAATTAGTGTCCCTTCCAGGAAAATGTCATATAACAATTGTACATTCGATTCTCTAATTCCTAACACCAACATGTATTCAAGAATTTATAAGTTGAACCCAAAATATGGATGAAGTACAAGTTGTCAGGCGATCTGTTAAATAATGATAATGCATGATTAGCTTAAGATATGTCTAAAATATGTTGGGTAGAATTTTTTTTTTTTTATCAAATTATAGACGTTTATATATCAATTGTCAGGATATTAGAAAGCCACCCTGACATGTCTAACTCCGGCCTCCGGTAGCAGCCTCTATTCCAAAATATCAACAAAGCGATTGAGTGCGATCCATTGCTAAGTAAGAACACCACAGTGCTAAGTTTATTGGCTAAGTTATGAATATATCAACAAGAGTTCCTTCTACGTTTAGATGTGATTTTGTGAAGATGCCAAATTGGCTTGGCACAAAGGTTAACAAGGTGAATCCATCTCGTGCCCCCACCGTAATTGGACATAGTTCTGAGTGATATATCTTCTTATCCAGGAGCGAAGTTAGAAAATTAGTTTACCAGGGAATAATTAAGTAGAGGCTTATCGGGAAGATAATTAAGTAGAGGCAGATGTAAGACTATCCTCGTTGCATGCCAATAATAGCAGGTGGAGTGCCAAGAATTTTTTCTAGTTTTTCGGTGAGGCATTTCTTGGAGCACTTGGCTGAACCATACTAATTGTGTGCTCAGCTCAGCGTACATCTCCGAACTTTAGTGTTTGTTTAATTGTGTGTTTAGGTTAAGATTATTACGGTCACTGCAACAAAGAGTTAATTTGTTAATCAAATATGTAAAGGGGCAGGAGCTCTAATTTATATGACAGTTGAGAGGAGGTAAGGTTAATGGGCCTTTATTATTTTAAGAAAATGATTGTTAAACTTTTCTCAAAAACGTTGTCATTATCTAACAATATATATAGGTTTTCCCCTGCTCTTCTTGATGTATTGCAATAACCAACTTTGATACTCGCCTCCCGATGGTCTTAGAAGATAATCGAGTGGTAGAGTTGCATTGGAGAGATGTCAATGTTGTTTAGTTTTTGTTGAACTCATCTGTGTCACGGAGAAAATTTGAAGAAGATATAACTTGGGGTAGTTTTGTCAAATTGTTTTAAATTATGTATATTTTTTTTACCCAGCCAAAAAAGTTGAGATACTGTTCTGACCCTCCCAGTATTACACGGATCAGGACAACATGTGGGTTACATTCCGTTGGTTAATATTGCTTATTTTGCTTTGCTGGGAGATCACAAAGCTTCAATGCGACATATACTCACCCAAATATGGCTCTCTCTCTCTCTCTCTCTCTCTCTCTCTCTCTTTCTTATCACATCGTTGTCATAAATATGAACATGTTGCTTCCTATTCAATATTCCTGTCGAGCGTAAAAAGCATGTGTTTGGCTCTTAGGAAAAATATTCAAGCCGAAGATTCATTTCTAATTTAAAATATGATTTGAGGAAAGCCATTGGGAACTTTCCCATTCCATGAAAAATATACATAGTTGTGATTGTGAACAAGCCGCATATCGGGTTTTACTACAATGGCAAAAAGCAATTATGTTATGTACTATGGTGCTTATGCATTATAGTACGAGTTCGATCTTATGATCTCCTTCTTTTTCAACAACTAACTATTGCATGTGGTTCAATATTAGCAAATAGAGAGTTGAGTTTTTATTCATACATATCAGGTTCAAACCTTCTTCATCTCCTAACTTATTGTAATAGTTTCAAACCCTCCATTAATAATAATAATTAAAAAGAAGACTGAGCTGTGACATACGTTTGAGATAGAGCGGCCATGACGGATGCAGTGGGTGAAGAAATACTAAAATGAATTAAACTAAATGAAAAAATATATATATATAAAACTAGGGTTAGTAAACATTAGAGTTGTACAATGTATAAAGAACAATATAAAAGTCGTATTCATATGCATATATACATTGCTTCACGGCACCCATGGATGGGGTTCTAGAAGACTTGTATTTATTTAGGGTTTTGATAGTTTTGATGTAACATATAGGCCAATTGGGACTGCAGGAATAGTATTAACTGACTTGGTCAAGTTTTGAGGCTAAACTTTAGATTCACGCCAAAATTTTAAATTTTGGAACCAGCCTCAAATTATCCAAAATGTTTTAGAGATAATATTTTTAGCTTTGTCTTCAGTCATGTCCCTTAAAAATGTACTAAATGTTCTCCAATTAATTAAAAACATATGATCATCTTCCACCTTTTGGGATTACTCTATGTCTATAATTCGTTATGAATAGTTTTATTGTGATCATAACATTCTATCAAGTTTAATTTATTTTTTGTTTTTATGTTAACACGATTTTTTTTTTAAATAGAGTAATAACGTTAATGAATTAAATAATTAACTGTTAACAAAATCGGCAAAGTCGAGACACTATCATGATTGACTGATCTAACATTATAATGAAAAGAAAGTTAAAATACTGTCATTGAGGTACTGCTTAGCCTAGCTACAATAGGTGTAATTTGACTTTTCTTATTAATTAATGGAAAATTGATTTGAATTAGATAGGGATTAAGAGACCTTGAGAGACAGGAAGGATAAACAAATTTGGTGAGATCATCATGGTTATATAAAATGAGTCGATTAAACAACATTATCAATTTATCATGTCATTTAGATAAGTCATATTCATACACTATTTTCCTTGTATCTTCGGTTGGGGAAGGAAGTCCGTGTGAAGTTAATTAAATCGTTTTCCATTGAATTTAACGAGGAGAACATAATTAATATCCTTGTTTATTTATGATTAATCACAATGTAGTAGGTGTTGACAAACTCACAAAATAATAGACAAGCATTTATTAATGTAACAAAATATCAAGCATTAAGTGAGCTCTAAGAATATCTGCAAATGGGGAGGAGAAATGCTAACGAGAAAAGTGGAATTTTTTCTGAATTTTCTGCTATTTTTTGTTTTTGGCACAATATTTTATAATGTTGGTACAGAAATTGACGTTAAACTATGTAGTGACAGACAATCCATGAAGTGTACCACTTTGAGAGAGTCACCTTAGTATTTCTCCCAAATGAGATGTCAAATCTTATGTGAACTGATTTGACAAAAAAAAAAGGTTGGTTTTATGGTTTCAAAAGAGATGCCAAAATTCTATATGGATTAACATACTCTACTTTGTTGCCAAATTTGAAGGTAATGTCATTTTTTTTTTATGTTGGACCCACATATTTCTTTATTTTCTTCGCTTATTGGTTATTTTATTTTTAAAATCTGACCATTAATTTTATAAATAACCCAAAAGAATTTTAATTCAACATCTCGGTTGGAATAGAAGACTTTACAAAATGCTATTTTGCAACATCAGCTATAAAAATGAAATTTAACATCTTCATTTTTTTGTCAAAAAACATCTCCATTGAAGATGGTCTAAACTTTAGCAGAGAACTCAAGATTAAAACACATCTCATGAATTCTCAGTTGCGGCTAGTCCAATTATAATATCAGTGAGCGTTTTGACCGATCCTAAAACTCATCTACGTAAATATCTTATTGACGGTAAAAAAAAAATGGATCAAAAGACGTGTGCAACCTTTAAAAAGGAAACCAAATAGAAACTTCTTCAAATTGGTAAAACATATTCGATTTGTCATATAAATTTTGTGTAAAACGTTTTTGATCAAGTACAAAGATACATAAGACTTATCTTTTTTCCCTTGAGTGGAGGTATGGGGTGGTGGGCAATGAAGTCAAAGACTGAAGAGGGCTTACGTTACGTGGATCAAAATTGTAAAAAAGAGAAGGGTCTCTTTCAGATTGCAATGTGAGTTTGGGTAGAAAAAGAAAGGAGAAAATGGAGATGGATAATAATTCATAAATCCAATTATTGGGGGTGGGGGGACGTTTAAATTTTAAATTAAAAAACAAACATCTGGTTGCACGTCCTTAATTTAATATAAACATATAATCCAGAAGCCCATTTGTCAATGTGGCGGCCAATTTTTAAAGACGCCACCCCTCTTCTCTAACGCCTCCCTCCGCTTGTTTCTTCTTCTTCTTCTTCTAAACCCCCCAGCATCAAATCAGAAGCTCTGCCATCTCTCTCTGTCTCTCTCTCTCTCCCCCTCCGTCTCTGCTCTGAGCAGCCAGTTTGTGTTTCTCTGCAAGCATCATCATCAAATTCAGAGCTCCGGAAGTTCCAAAAAATGGACCCCACATTCTTCAGCAGCAACAGCAAACAGCTTCTGAGCGATCAGGAAGAGAATGATAACACCACCACCTCCACGCCGGAAAACAGCTCAGACTCTCCTCCGCCGTCCACCAATTTCAGCGACTACTCCAAGATCACCACTTCCACCTCCTCCCCCAAAAAAAGGTTTGTAATTTACTCTTTCTCAATTCACAAATTAACCCAGTTTTAGTTCAACTCCATGCACAAAACCAATGTTAATAATGGGATTTTTAAATTAATGTTAATTTACATGAATTTAATTGTTACAGTGGTCGGCGAGCAATACAGAAACGAGTGGTGTCGGTCCCCATCAAAGGCGACAACAGCAACAGCAGCACTCCGCCGCCGTCCGATTCTTGGGCTTGGAGAAAGTACGGCCAAAAACCCATCAAAGGCTCACCTTATCCCAGGTAATTCTACTAATAATCAATCAATCCGTAATTACATATTTAAGTTAAGCGAGAGGCTGTAATTTTATTTTCCATACTAATAATCATTTCTTAACCCCATGTGTCCGCCTCTTTGTATTAAGTTGCATTCTTTTTTCTCACGTATATTACAGCAGTTTAGAATACTGTCGAATTTGGCAGGTTTTTATGATCCGTGACTAATTGTCTGTACTGTTTTTTTTTGGGATTTGGTTAATTTACCAAACTGGGCAGAGGGTATTACAGGTGCAGTAGCTCAAAAGGATGCCCGGCGAGGAAACAAGTAGAGAGAAGCCGCGTGGACCCCACCACGCTGGTCATCACCTACTCCTCCGAACACAACCACTCTTGGCTCGCCTCTCGCAACCACCACAACAACCACAACAATTCAAGTTCCGCCGCCGCAACCAAACGCGGCCCCACCAAGACCGAAGCCCCGGAGGCCCAGCAACCCGACCACCAAGATCAAGACCTAGACCAAGACCAAGACTCCAGGTTCGCGGATCTAAACCACGAGTTGCTTATCGTAAACGACGAGTTCGTCTGGTTCGCCGACATGGAGACCACGTCGTCGAGGGTGCTCGAGAGCCCCATTTTCGCCGAGAGCAGCAGCTCAGTCGGGTCCGACTCCGGGGACAAGGCGGCGATGGTGTTCCCCATGGGAGAGGAGGACGAGTCTCTCTTCGCCGATCTGGGCGAGCTGCCGGAGTGCTCTTTCGTGTTTAGGTACCGTGGTGTGGGACCACAAGCTCAGATCTGTTGACACGTCTGCCCTTTTCTTCCAAAACCCTCCATTTTTATTTGTCTTTTTTTACACACTCTCTCACTCCCCCGTAAATACATTCAAACTAGCATCGTGCGCCCTAAGATACCGAAAGTTTTTTTTTTTTATTATTTATTTAACAATTTTCTGATTTTAGATTTTATTTTTTTAGTAATAAAAAGAGTTTAATTATTTTTTTTACTTGCCTTGATTTTAGCTTGGTGAATGTTTAAATCTGGATCTGTCATGATGTTGGTGTATTAGCATATTTTTTTTTTTTTTTGAACAACCGGTATATTAGCATATTCTGGCCGTCTGTTTGAAATGTGTACATAGATTAGAATACTCTTAAGTGGGGCTCACCAATCCATTATTGCTAATTTTATATATGCTAATCACACGTTTGTGACATAATATCTTAATCCCCCGTTTATTCTTACATTATGAAAAACTCGTTTGAAAATGCTTTGGAACTGGCAAAGCGTCTTTTGTTTTTTGATAAAAGTGTTCATGTAACCAATTATAGTAAAAATACAAGTGAATTAGAAAAGCACTTGTAAGAAGCACGTAAGTGCTTTAAGTTATTTTAAAAGCACTTCCAAATGAACCAGCTGATTAGTAATTCAAAACCAAAATATATATATATGTTAATAATTTTTAACTAAAGTGTTGATAGCGAGCGAGTCCTTTGGTGTCAAGGATTGAATTGATAGAAGTGAAGAAATCATATAAGGTGTTAATATCATTTTATGGAGATTGAAATGGACAAATTTTCTTCACAAGTAATCTATCTTCTACCTTTAGCTTCAACAAATCTCAAGTTATCCAATCTAATCTATCTATCGTGTTTGTATTGAAGTTGTGGTCTTTTCTCTTGCCTTCCCATACTCAATTTAGCATCTTGAAGCTTTTGGATGCATTAGTGTAAGGGGATTAGAACCAAATCAAACTTGACCCCAATTCAAAAGTCGGACTGTTAGCTAGCCCTTGGAGCTAGCTAGGTTAGTTATATTCTTTTTCCTAAATTAATTATGACAAATAAAATAATCCAGCAACCATCGATAATAACATGGCCATTTGCTTCCTCTTTATTCTTCCTTGAGTTCCATCAATCTTATCCTGCACATTGAATTTTATCGACTTTTGTTTGCTCGAAGCAATCCACACTGTATTTTTTTTTAACGTTCCTTTCCTTTTTCAATAATGTATAGTATTGCCATGATACTAGGGTAACTCTTTAGTCTTAGAATCATCATTTGCATATTATGCAATGATGTGTCCATCTTTCTCGTCAAGTAATTAGTGGAATGTGAGATATAACACGAAGTAGTGTACAATCCCAGCAATAATTCTCCAAATATTATTTTCTTGTATACATATGATTGATTTAAAATCAACGAAATAATCTAAATACAAATATTAACAAACAAAAAAAAAATAGTGGGTTAAACACACACATACACATAAGAAGATCATGGTGGAATCGGATTTTCCACTTGCAGTAAAATTGATTTTAAATGCAAAAATACCCTTATTGTCACCATCTGGAAAGTTTAGCACTGAATTGGCATGCCCTTATGCACCAAAGTTGGTCTTGTTAAATTCGTCATATATATCATGAAAAGAATTTTATTGCTGATGATTTGGCTCATTTGGGTTTGTCATGCAGTTTAGGTCCATTTTTTTGAGCAAGCTCCTTTTTCTTGTCGTTGGTTGCTAGTTGCAGATATAGCTAGAGTTTTGTAGCCTCGTAATATTCTTATGTAATCTTTCATTTTCTTTAAAGCTTACGCCCCGTTGTATAAAAAAAAAACATACTAAAGATAATATAAAGACAATTTGGGTTTATTTGGTATCCTTTTTTAATTCAATTTTTTGTTTTAAAAAATAAAAATAAATTACTTAATATTCATTAATTTCAAAAACAAAATATAGAATACAAAATAGTACCGAGCCTTAGGGTTTTGTTTTTCCTTTTTAATTTTCTACGCACGCCATTATGTAGGTTCTATTCCACCTTCATAATCATAAGCAACCCACGTACGTTATGAAATTGGGAACTCAAACTGACTTAAGATTCTCATTGTTCGATTAGACGTCGAACGAAAGTGTCTTTCTAATTTCTAGGCAGATCATTTCCAAAGTCAAAGAAAGCCAAAACACTTGACTTTTAGGTAGTGATGGTATAGCTGGATTTTGACCCCGTCACCAATTATGGTGGCCCATTGAAAATACATACTAAAATGTCTTGCACGTCACACTTTAATTTTCAAAAAAATTAAGGAACATTACTAATTGCATGCTCATTTTTATTTTTCGCATAATTTTATTAAATTTTGATCATTGATCTTCTTTAATTTATTCGATTCGACGTTAAAAAATTAAAATAAGTACGTGAAAAGCAAAAATGAATATGTGGTAATACTATCCTTAACTGTACCAGCTTACCCCAACATATTATTATAAACCCTAAAATTGATGGAAGAAAGATTTGATATAAGTTGTTGATGAAGACTAAAGAAGGGGACCCAACTAGATATATATATAAGAAGCTTTTAAGGGAAGGGGTCCTCATTTTTCAAAAAAAAATGGAAACATCATCTTGACCGTTATATTTGGCTTTAATGAAATCCTCTGGTTGAGATTCTGTGGCCTGTGATTTAATCTCAGCCACGGAATTTCATTAGAGTCAAATCTAATGGTTAAGAGGGTGTCCCCATTTTTTTTGAAAAATAGGGATCCCTCCCCTTAAAGGGTTTATGTGTGTGTACATATATATTAGTTCAAAACCCTAAATTATATGCTATCTTTTTTTATATTTATAGTTCGAAACCCTAAATTGTATTTATTTATTTATTACGACTAACCTGCATTATTTAAAGTTTTAACCCCTACTTGGTCTTATCGAATTTAAAATATTAATACGATTGTTTAAAAAATGTCTCATCTTTGCAACTGGCTTTTTATTTTAGTATTTGATTTACAACATCTGCACAGCATTTAATACGTCATATAAATTATTGCACAGTCATTGCTCATGTCACGGAAGAATCCTTTTGGATAGTTGGATGGGATCTACTTCTTCCTTATCCGTTACGGCATTTTGCGGAGAGAGAAAGGGAGAGATGAATAAATTAAGGCAAAAGACAGCTTAGGCGTGAAGATTCACCATTTTATTCAAACCCTAATAAACGGAATTGGATCCTCTCCTGAGTAGGAGATGAGGATCCTCCTGATGCATTAACACGGGTTGTTAGATTTTGATTTAACGGTTACAAACACGAACATCTCTAAAAATTATAATAATTGTAGTCGCTAGATCAAAATCTAACGGCTCATGTTAGTGGGTCAGGAGGATCCTAATCTCCTGCTCAAGAGAGGATCCAATTCCCTAATAAACCTCAAAGCCTGCCAAGTTTTTGTTTCTGCATGTAACGTGCTCTGTGTTAAATACCTTCCGCGAGTATTGGCTGGATCTAGGTTTGAATAAGGCACACTTGTAAAAACGGTAAAGTCAGAAATATTTTTGGAAAGTGTTATTGACACTTCAAAAATCTCATTCTACACTCCTCACAAATATATTTTTCTTTCCGAATGAAAAAGTTTGAAGTGTATAATGAGATTTTTGGAGTACCAATAATAATTCCCATATTTTTTTATTGGCCCAACTAACATATTATGGTGCTAAACTGATAATCACATATAAATCACAAGTTACATTTTTTTTAGACCAGGGTTTGAGAAAATTATTGTCACTCACTATTCGATCATAATCTCAAAGGTGGAGGAGAAAGTACAACAAAAGAGTTAAATGACAACCTATCGTTAGATTAAGATGAAAGGTGAGCAATCACAATTTTCTTGGACTCCAACTTTTTATGAATACAATACATTTTGATTTGATTGTGTGATCAAATTTAGCAGTACCACAACATATACGAGTTGCGTTAGAGACAATTGTCCATGCACATATTTACATGTATTTTATGTTTACACTATTCCACATAATATTGCGCATTTGACTTGAAATATCTGTCACAATAATAGAAGCTCTCCCTGCGCCGCTGGTGGGAGCGGATTCAATCAATGTGGGGTCCACACAAATCTAACGGCTTGCAGTTTCCTTATCTTTCCTCAATGGATAATACAACATATTGTGCAATTTGTGCTGTTGTCGTAGCTAGGCTAATCTGTGGATTACTGAACGCCGGCCGTCCGGCGTTGCCTGTGGACAAGGGAAGTGTTTGGAATTGTTTAAATCGTATCGGCAATGACATCCTTCCCCGATGATTACGGACACATCAGATCATCGAAAAACGACGTCCAAACTAAAATTTTGAGTTGGGCAAAAAATGAATTCCAAAACGACACGCACCACACCTTCACCAACTGTTTTGTTTTCTGGGAATCGAGCTGCACGACAATCCGTCTAAAGAGGGGACTACACAGCAGCCATGAAAAATTTGCCAACGTAGGACAGATTATACATAGGGAGTTGAATGAACAATTTCAATTAATTCGTCTCAAGAATATAATCTCGGAATGCCGAATTGGCGAAAACCTATGTGAAAAGTAACATGTAATATCTTGTTACAAGCTCCTCTTGATCGGCTAAACATATTTGTCTTGGATAATTAATGATAACGACAATGGAAGTAAACACCGAACCCCGCCTGCCTATCTCCTAACGCCGGCAGAATTTCCGAGATTTTTTTTTACACAACCCAGTAGAGGGAATAACAGATCATGTCGTAACAGAAACCAGCTACATCCAGTGCAGATTCGGTCCCTAGCTTGAGCAACATCCAGCTTTCTTCACAGCTGAAACATCTTTACTGATGTCGATTTTCTCTCCTTGAGGAACGGTCGAAGCAGCTCCATCGCCAGCCTCCATGGCCTTCCTGCTCACAATGCGAAAGATCTGGGTGAGGACTTCAGAAAATGCATTGTCCACATTGGTCGCTTCGAGTGCAGAAGTTTCCATGAAGTAGAGAGACTCCCTCTCGGCAAAGGATTTTCCGTCCTCAGTTGAGACTGCCACAAGGTGACGAAGATCTGATTTGTTACCAACAAGCATGACAACAATGTTGGGATCAGTATGGTCTCTTAACTCCTTTAACCACCTTTCCACACTTTCAAATGTTGAATTCCGAGTGACATCGTACACAAGTAGTGCACCAACAGCCCCTCGATAGTAAGCACTTGTTATCGCTCGGTACCTACAAATACAATACAAGAGGTAAATACAAGCTTGATGTGAAAGGAATCCAAAAAACATCAAATTTTTCACTGCCAAGTCCTAAACTATAGCACTAATGTAACAATACTAAATAATGATAACGATAACAATATAATACTAACACAATTAGTTAGGACATCAAATTACCATTAACTTATTCAAAATCCCATATACAGCATTACTAGAGAGAGACAATTACATATAAACTATCAAACGAGAGCATATTGAAGTTCTACATCACAGCAAATGTAGGTGTTCCAGATCAAGTGTCAACATCATCACAAAAAAGAAATGCTGTCAAATTATACATTGAATATTTAATAATAATATGATACAACCATACATAACCCATCTGAATAGAGCCAAAAGTTCATCAATTTTTCTGTACACAATGGTAACATCGGTACACAGACAACAAATGTTGTTAGTGACAGGTTGGGTTGAGGTGGATGGCTTGGGGTAACTTAGTGTCATATATGGACCTGAAGTCGGATGGTGGCTTTAGAATATGTTTCAGAAGAAAATTTGTGCATGTCGAATAACATAGTGAAGAGATTAGTTATCTCACATCCTCATTGGTTTAAACAGTTTAATAATAGTTGGGCACGGTGGGTAGGTTGGGTTATTTAGTCTATCTTACTCCAATCCTGTGTGGATATCTAACATGGGTTTCAAACAAAATAGTTCAACCAATATTTGGTGTCAATCACAACCTCAGTGTTGCTAATAAGATGGCTTCATTTTACCATTTTTTTTTCAAGAGAAGGGGTAATCCTGAGACAACTATATTGGCATACCATGAAGCACTCAACATATACTTTAAACGATTTGTTTATGTGGACTGGCCACAATTCTCGCTAGGAGAGCACGTAGTATTCAATGAAGAGATTTTAAATTATCTTGTCAGCTTAAGCAGAATAACTCATAAGAATGTGCAGCATTTTTGTTTTTCTATTATAACATTCATTATTTTCTCCTTCTCAATGCTAGAAAAGAAAGTGGACCTGATAGTTTACACTCATCGCACCCCTCTTATTCTAGGAAGAATAATGTAACTTGAATTCGAGGGTAATTGAACTGTCTTGCAGTTCGTACAACTTCACCAGAACAGTAAGGGAGACTAGATAATCCTCATCAGCTGTCTGTTTGGGTGCTCAAACTATTATCCATTATTGAATATGCATAAAATTCGAACCAAAATAGTTTAATAGAAGAGCAAGTGTGCATGTGGCACAATACTGGCTAAACAGTGATGCAGAAAACCTGTTCAAAGTGAAAAGGCATGTGAAGGAGTTTGAATGACAATAGAGAGTTCGGATTTGTAGTAGCAGTACTGGTTTGAATGGTAATAAATTAGGAAGGCTTTATTTCTCGAAATGCAAAATTGCTCCAGGCTCATAGAAAGTCATTAGAATATAGAGACACATATGATCGTAGGTAATACAGAAAGCAAAACTTTGGCCAACTTCAACATCCATCTGCTCAGATATGACTTATCTTGTTTATTATATTATACCTTAAAGTGGTAAGATTTGAAACTGAGTATAATTTCTGTGCTTTTCATAATGATGAAATACTAAAACCATCATATTTTTACCCCTAAAGATCATAACGGTCAAGGCAAACTATAGCACACCTGCATTGCATGAGCACTTCCCACCAGCAATTCATTCCAGAAAGCATAATATAAAACTTAACTTAAATGCATTACCTATAGGTCACATTTATCACACCAATGTCTTTTCAAAACATGTCAAGTTCAAACTCTGCACTTTGAGAAAATCAGTTCAGTTTCTCAATAAGAAATACAATCTCTTTGATAATTCCATGTTAGCGGAGATCAAACAATCACGTTCCACTAATGTTAAACAAGTTGCCTTTTTTTCTAACAAAAGACTGTAGCCTCATCAGTAAACTGTAAGAATACTCAGGGGGCGACACCACAGTTATATTACATCTTTTTTTTTACTGGTGACCATACAGAATTTGAAGCCCAGATGAAAATTTGAAAGCAGATTTAATGAAAGATCTCTCTACCAACACAGTAGCTGGAATCTCCAGAAAGTAATGACTTTGAAACAGAGAGGGTTGGTTTGACTACCACATATATTTAAGACAAGCCAGCCAGTAACAAAGCTTCACTAAGTAATGGTATCCAACAAACAGAAGTTCTGCACTAAAAATCATCATTCCACTGAAAATTAAGTACATTTCTCCGTAGGAAGTAATGGCATTTACTATTTAAGCATTGTATCCGATGGATCAATGACGTTACATGTAGCAACTAGCAACTAGCAACCAGGCATTTCCAAATACCAATTCACACCAACGGAAAAGCATAAATTACAGAGACCTATAAATACAGCTTGCACATTTCATTTCATTTCATTTCTAATTCATAAGTCATATATAAAGTTAAAATGAATTGCAGAAGAAATGCAGATATGCAGAACAACAACAACAAAATAATGTCAAAACCACAATTTCCTTCAGACAATGAATCAATGCTTGATCTGTGTATAACTTAGATTGCTACAGAAACAAATCGAAACCAAGAAAATTATGAGCACTTTGATTCTAATACTCAGATCTACTAAAACAACCCAAAAAAGCACCAAATCCAGGCACCAACCAAATTGCAAAAGCTTAATTCTTTCATCACCTAAAACCCAACAACCCTGACCCATTTCATATCTTATGATCATCAACCAAAAGCTTCAATCCCACCTAAAAACTCAAAAAAATAAGAATAACCCAGATCACAAATAAGCAGAAAGATGAAGAACGAAGCAAGAAAGCAGACCAACCGTTCTTGGCCAGCAGTGTCCCAAATCTGGGCCTTGATGACTTTGCCGTCGACATCCAAGCTGCGGGTGGCGAACTCGACTCCGATGGTGGACTTGGACTCGAGGCTGAACTCGTTCCTGGTGAACCTCGACAGCAAGTTGGACTTGCCGACGCCGGAGTCGCCGATCAGCACCAACTTGAAGAGGTAGTCGTAGTCATCCTCAGCTCTGTACCCAGCCATTACTGTGACCCCAAAGAAAAAGTCTGAAGCTTTTTGGCTTCTAAGAAGAAGGCGGTGATCTCGTTCTTCAGATCTCTCCCGGTGATTTGCTCTCTGAAATCTTCGTTATTATTTTTGTTTTCGGCTTTTCGGATGCGCGTCAGACGTGTGGAAGACTGCTGTCTGGAAGGAGAGAATGTGGAAAGTGAAATGACGTTTATGTCCTTGCTTGATCAAAGTGGGTTACAGCTGAGAGGTCTCATTCGGCGTGAGGGTGTTTTTGAGATTTTGGGATGCTCATTTTTGGGTCTTCTAATTTCTGGTCTTTGGGCTAAGTGGGCTTTCAGAAACAAGAAAGTAGGATAGTATTTAGCAGATTCGAGTGAGATATTATGATATTTTATTTAATATTGTTATTGGTTAAGATTTTATTTGCAAAACATTAGAGCAAGTTCATTCTTAAAAAAATACGCCAGCATTTAGCCTATTTAATCCATTCAGTGAATAGTGATAGGCCTCAATAAACAGTAATAAATCAAATACATCTTCACTCCTAAAAAATGAGTTGGTACAACGTTTAAAAAATGCGCTGGCATAAACGATCTTCACATCTATAAATGCGCTGACATCCAGCCAATTTAAAATATTATTAATTTTTTTATTATAAAATAATAAATAAATAAATAGTTTTAATTTCAAATAGGATTTTTAACCAAACTTGTCACGCCACGTGTCATTGTCTAAAAGTGTATGAAAGCTTTGGTAGAAAATGTTGAAATGTGGTGTAAGGTGGAAGATGATGGTTAGGTATCTATAGTAAGAAAAAAAAATAAAATTTTTTATGTATTTTTAAACAATTTTCAATTAAGTTAATTAATCTGAACCGTTGGATTTGAAAAGGATTCAAATCCAACAGCCCAAATGTGGACACGTGGCCAATGGTCATAATTCTGACCGTTTGGTTTTTTTTTTCTCTTTTTTTTGGATGAAAATCGTGGACCGTTGATCTTGGGATCGGACGGCCCAGAACGCACCACCTCATCTAGTCGTTAGGTTCGAATTTGAAATTTTTTTGACCATTGGAAATCCAACGGTCCAGAAAACTAGTCGTTGGAAATCCAATGGCCCATAATGAGCCACGTGGGCTAAAACGGCGGGCCCCACAGCCTTTATTTTTGTTGGGGACACACGCCCACTAGTGCGTGTTTCCCACTTGCCTAATGCAAAAAAAATATCAGTGCCCTGTGACGTCAGGTTGACGCAAGCCTAACGTCACATAGGCCAACTGATTGCTCAACACATTTTGGGGCGACCTATGGCTTAGCTTGGGCTGGGTGCCAACCTATTAGGCTGGGCTAGAGCACTGTTGGGGAATGCCGGCCCGTTTTATGTGCTGTGAGCCGGTCTACCCACATGGGGTGGACTTGCTCTTATGAACTATCTAATAAATGAAATTATTATTCTATTGATAGCATATGTGGTCTAACTAATAAAGAGGCGGAGCCATGAAGAGATCAGGATGGTATCATGCCCATGCATTATGACATTTTTTTCAAAGTTAAGTATTATGTTTATATTTTTCAAGGTTTTCTTTGTAGGCTTTGAGCCCTAATTCGACATTTTTACTTGAAATTTTTTTCATCGAGTTTGATTTGAGGTTGGTGGCTCCTATAGAGTTTAGAAAATCCGTTGCTTTGGAGCTTTGAGGAGGACTCCAATCTAGGGGTCAGTGGAATGAAAGATAAAGAAAGTTAGACAAGCTTGGGGTTTAGGTTTAAGGAAGAGAATGATGAGGACGACATCATACCAGACCCAAACGACGATGGTTGTTCACCACACAACAAAGTAATTTTTGCAAAATCGGCAGAGCATTTCGGATTGAGACTTTTGACATAAAATTATGGCTCTGTGACTGAACTAATTTACGGTGAAAGTATCATAGCCATTCGTAATTTATGTATGAACAAATTACACCAAAGAACTTAACAAGCAACTAGAGTGTGACACTTTTGGGGTATATATGTTCTGGTTAATATCGTGAACCATGTTAACTAATGACTACAATGAGATTGGGATATTTCTATTGCTGCCTTTTCTTGATTTGTAATAATGATTCACATTTTTTTCATGATCGTTCCCTTTTGACAAAGCTTCTGAAAGCATGAAAACTGACACTGTTTTCAGCACCAAAGTGATCGATCTTCATTCTGCGCTACTTGTAATCATCACTAGTAGCATTTTTCTATCATTACATCAATTTGCAAATTCAACAATAATAATTATTATCGTCGTACATCAGAAAAAAAGTAAATTCATTCAATTGACGACCGATGTATGATATACATTATTGTACAATAAAGTTTTCTTCGTATAGCATGACCACTCAAAGGTGCCTGATACTCTACGGATGTTGGTCCAAGGAAATAATACATTCAACTATGTCTTATAGAAACCAGTTTTTCTGCCTGAAATTGCACCAAAAATATGATTTGGGATCTCTCCTCACCAACCGGACAATCATTCACACCAACCATGAATTATGCAAGCGTTGAGAAATTAGTTGGGTGTCCCATGAAGTAGACCCACAAATGATTTATGTGTGCCACCATGTCCATTCACAGCGGATTAAAATTTAGGTTGACTGACGTGGTATTGAATTATTTGACTCGCGAGGTTATTCTTTTTAAAACAGCATGTTATGAGCTCACATCGAAACTTTGAAAGTAATATGTAAAGCATGATTAACTTCGATGTTTTACATTTGTCAAGCTATTGTTCGATCCACTCTATCTTCGCCATATGTTGCACAAGTACAACAGTTTCCTCCATAAATTATTCCCAAACGGGGCCCTATACGTATATAAGCAGGCTGAGCATCTTGTGATGTGAACTACAGAACCAATTTCTATAGACCTCGTTTAATACATGAGTAATGTTATTCATATCATATTTTTATATCATATTTTTATATCATCTTAGGTGACATCTGATGTGGACAACCATATTATTTGAAAAATTTGTAAAACCCAAGGAAATGAAGGAGAAAGACTCCTCGTGTACCACAATCATCAAATGCCACCTAAGGTGATATGAAAATGTGGTACAAAAACATAATATGAATATTATTTTTGTTAATATATTGCTCCTCTAGCATCTCTCTAAAGCAGACCTTTTCAAATTCCAGCGACTATTTAGCTTAAAAAAAAAACAAAGAGTGCTACCAGATATTGAAACACATAAACAAAGACATAAGTATCATGGTATCCACGATCTCCCCCTATGATTACATACAGCCATACACGCTCTTACCACACTGACCTTTTATACACACACATTATTTTTGTCAAGTTATAAGTTCCTCATCTTTCCAGTTCCATTACTCTTGGTTCCAATTTGTCCAAATGTCTTCTGGTACTGAATCTGGGCTCTCTTCTCCTTCTTCTTCGTCCTCACCTGGGTTGCCTGACACGTGTCCTCTTTCCACTTGTCCAACTGTGCAGTTCGTCCCAAAATCTACCTCTGATCGACTTCTGCAGAAGTTCTTCGATGCCACGGAGTTCGACTTTGATTACGAGCAGAGCGGATTGTGGTCTCCTCTGGTCCGGCGTACGGTGTTCCTGAGCTCTCAAGGAAAAATAGTCACTGAACAAGAAATGCTTGCCAGACTTTCAACCCTAACGGACGCTCCTTCTGCAAGACACGATAAAGCTTGTTTTGGGGTGAGTTGCTTAAGCTTCTTGTTTCGTTTGTGTGATTGGTTTACTTTTGTGCTTCTCCATCGCGCTTAGGTTGTTTCACACTTGGTTTTTTATGTATGTTTTTGTCTGATATTTTGTAGGGATGCTGGTGTTCTTGAAGGATATTTTGAAGCCATCCTGACTTCATTTATGAGGATTGCAGATCAAGAAACCAATTCAAATCAAACAAGGTAGAAGAAACAGACACCCATTTTTTACTGTTCTTTTACTGTATCATGTAAATGTTCCTTTTTTACAACCAAAAAAAGAAAAGGAAAAAGAATATTTAGAGAACAGAAATATTTTGGCTTCGAGCCTTTTTATTCTTTCAGTTTTTATTTTTTTTGTTTTTGGTCTTTAATTCCGTTTACAAAACTGAAAAGTTTTGTAATTTGCATATTAGTTGTTCAATTAGCCAGTGATTTCATACATAAATGTTATGAAAAATGTTAATGTACTTAGGAGTAGAAAACTATTGCTCATGTATTTGTATACAGAAGGAAGATTCGAACATTGGGAGAGTGAGAAACTCGGTTATGAAAGTTTATGACCTATGATAAATTTGAGCTAATGTGTCGGTTACAAGGTGAAAGTTTTGAGGTTCAAACCCCACGGCAAAAAAAGGGAATGATTTCTTATTGAACAACGCATATCAATGAGAAGGACCGCTCTGTCACAGTAATATCACTGCGGTGATATTTTAAACTAATTATGTTGTCAAATAGAAATGTCATTTGAGCAGTATCTCAAACCAATGGCATTTGTTATGTAAAAAAGTTAAAATGCATGATACTTTATAATTGACTTTATAATGCAACGATGATATCTCGATGTAGCTAAGTTTCTTCCAACATCATTAACTACCATGCTGTGATTAGTGAGGTCATGCAACATATGCCAAAATCACAGCTCACTGAGACAAGCTTATAGGGTCCTCAAATTGCAGTTTTTGCATTCAATAACAAAGGGAATTATATCCTCGAGATCGTATATGTACATATCATGCAGTGATCCAGCGCCCAAGGCTTTATTTTGCATATGGCAGCAATGCTTCGCAGTCCCAGACATATATTCCAATTGTATAAACAGATGTCTACTTTTAGCATGACAAGGTCAGGAAACTTAGATGCAAGAGCATTCATCAAAGCTTACATTGCACAGAGAAATTTAAAGGCAAGAGCCTCCAATTCATACCTGTCAGCTACATGAGGAGAATATCTTACCTATAAATTAGGCCGCGATTTTGTGACAGTATCACAAACTATTCAAATAGTGTAATGTGTCTTAACATTCTCACAGCAGTGTTTAATTGCCTTCAGTTACTGCCACTATGACATATGAGACTTCTAGTTATATGTAAGTTACTCTCGTACATGAGGCCTCGCTCTGGAAAAAAACTTACATAGAGCTGCATGATTAACTAGATGTTGAGGTACACACACA